AATTTTCTATCTTATAAGTTAGTTAAATTTGTATGTTACCTTATGCATTATAAGGTATAATTTTAAAAAGTAATTAATTGCTAATAAATCAAAAAATATAGGCAACTTAAAAAGCCAAAAAATTATTTTTGAATCTCTCAAATAGCCAATTTTTTAGCACTTTTCTTACATAAATGATTAATGAGTCTATCAAATTTTAGGACGAATAATTATTGAATTATAAGCATTTTAATACATATAGTTGGTATGTAGCGTGGGTGGTACAGTTTGTACTGATGTTTATTTATAACGTATACTCCACCTGCTTTACATACCTATGTCATACTATGACATAGTCGGTTTTATGCATTGAGTTAAAATACGTGAAACTCAGTAAGCATGTTCCCTAAAATCTTTATCGACGCATTAAATATATTTGTATAAAAAAAATAAATAAAAACGACCTTTTTGAAATTTGGAAAAAATTCAATATTATAAAAAAATTATTTTTATCATTAAAATCAAATGATAAAGATTGTGACTTTATCGTAGTCTAAGAGAGTGTAAATTATTATACTCTTTTTAATTATTATTAAAAAAAGAATTGCAACGAAATATTAATTGTATCAAAAGTTATAAGAGTTGTCAATTAGATCTGTTCCACTTTGTGTCACATATTCTTCTTGTTTGTTTTTCATCGAACAGCTCAAGGTAAAAAAACATATTTTTGTATAATTGTTTTTATTCATCTTATAAGATAAGATGAATGTTAGTTTAATAAATAAATTAAGTTAATATAAGTTTAAAAACAATTTTAAATGAAACGTTAAGTATTTTTCAACTATAATAGCGCACAAGTTAAGTTATTCACATGGATTGATTCAAGTAGGAATTCTGTAGATAACTATTTCTTTGTTACACAATTGAATGTAAAAGAAAAAAATCAGAATAATATTCTTTTATTATGTATTTTTCAATCTACATCAAAGCAAGGAAAATTTAAATAAAAATAAATTTATACTTAAAAAAAAGAAATAATAATTTACTCTTTTAAAAAGTGTTAAGTGAAAAAATTGAGGAAAAAAATCCTCCATGTACCAAGTAAAGGTATGCTATTAAAAGTCCCAATTTAATGCAAAAAATTGTTCGTTAGTAAATCCAAATATATAAAAATATAAAACCTTTATAAAGTTTATATAATACAATTTATACTTCGTGTATGTATACCGTATAATGTAATGTACCCTTCTAAATATTCAATTTATTTTACCAAATGAAATCAAAAGTAGTATTTTAAAGTAAAAATAAAAACAATTTATTTTACAACCTTTAATGTAATTATAAAATCTATTTGTAAACCATCATTGTAGTATATAATGTTATAATTTATTAAAGTTACACATTTTATCTGATTAAAATTTAACATTTTGATAGTTTTTAATCCATAAAATGTACAAAGAAATTAATAATGGTTATGTATTTATATAAAAATCACCTTGGAAACGTTTACATTTTGAAATATTTTAGTTCAATTGCATATATTGACACTATGATTAATTTGAAAAGGGTTTTAAGTACGCTTAGAAAAAATTAATATATTATTATACAATTGTTTACATTTTGAGTGTATGGCAAATAAAACTACATAAGTAATGACTTCTCAGTTCAATAGCGTGAAAGTAGTTGAATAAATTTTGTAAACTAAATTAAAACAACTTAATATTTTTTTAATTGTCATTTTGTTATGTTATGATATGTGAAAAATAATAGAGTTAAATTTTAAATAGAATGAATATTAAAAGGAGGTGTAGCTTCTTTCTATAAACTACTCTTCTAGTAACTGAATATTTTTTTAAAACTTTGAAACAGTATTATGTTCGAATAGTGCATACTTTTTTTTAATTGGACGTTTAGGTCATAGAATGTCTATTAATTAAATACAATTTGTAAATTTTTTTCTTGATTTAAAATACAATAAATTCATTGTAACACTTAATATTCATATAGTACAACGTTATTTTTGACCAGTTATATGATTTCGAATACCAACCTTACAATAAGTTTGTTTTGGTTCAACATTTCTATTTTAAAACGAGCATCTCTAAATATTGTACATAAGCTTGACACGTGACATAAAAACAGTCTTTCAAGCCCAGAACGCTTTTAGCTTTCAGTATTTTGTGCGACAGTTGCAAATGACATGTAAATTCTTCAGGCTTTATAGTGTAGTATTCCATTTTTTTACGATTTTTAAGAGTAACTGCCAACATTGCAACTTACTTTATTATTACATTATTATTTTTGTTTGTGAATTTAATTTAAAATGTTTATATTTTTAGCAAAGTAGAAGAGTGAAGCGGTAAAATAAAAAAGTTTACTTACTATATTTTGCTATGTTTTAAGTGATGTTTTCAGTAATAAAATTTCTTCGTGCAATAGAAATGTCGATACTTTATTTTAATATCATAAACTTTAATTAAGATTATATTTGACAATTTATATCGATGAAAACATTTTCAGTCATTAAAATTATTTCCTGTATAATTGGTTTATGTTTCCACAATTAAAAAAGTTTAAACTGTAAAATTATATAACCGATAAAGGTTATAAAATATTCGCATAATAATAAATAATTTATGTTGTACGAGTATTCCAAAACACGATAACATTTCGTTTTCTTAAATTATTGTCGTTCATTCAATGAACAAAATAATTTTAATTATTTAAGAATACCTGCGATATCTATAATTTTTTGTTAACATTAAATTGTTAATGTCCAAGAAAAAAGTAAGTTTAAAGTTCATTAATTTATGTATGCTGATATATAGTAATATTTGTTGCAAATAAACAGAATTAATGGAGATTTTTTAAATTGCGCTTATCGAAATGAAAATATAAATTTTCGTTTTTATTTGTTATAAGTGAAAGTAATAATAAAATTACACATTAAAACATTTATTTTAGAAGTAAATTGGAAAAACTTTTAATCACGAGCAAATGCTACACATTAATGTATATTCGCTTTATACTTTGGCCAAGACTTCTTCAATTTTTTTTCCTTTTTATACCAAAAACAAAACAGTCTATCGAAAAATGTTATGAATTCCATGTGGTCTACACTTTAAAAAATTGAAGAGAAAAATGACGATTTCATGGGAACCATTGTATATAATAGTCAAACAATAGAGCTATCACTCCAAAACTAATATGTATATAAATATATTGAAATATAAATATTTATGTTGTAATACAATTTTAAAGTTTCAATAGGGATAAGTAGATTTACGCTTGACGCCCCCTCAGAATATAAATGTTCCTTCGGCATCTTGATAGGACTCAATATTTCACTGAGGACTATTAAATCTTATATTAGGCTAGTATTTTGAACAATGAAATACATAAAAGTAATTGTGTCTGTGGGCAACTTTAGGACTTTAATAAATTTTCATTATCAACGCCCTGCAATTGCATTTGTAAATACTATTGCATTTACAAAAGTTGTTTTATATTTACCATTAATCTCATACCAATTTATTAACTCCCACTCATAAGTGTAATTGATGTCACAGCTTAAGATTCAAGCGTAGGCTACTGTTATAACTTTTTATGACCCCCAATACAAAATTCTACAGTTATAATGCTGCTGATTTTATTGCTTTTCCAAATATTCAACACTGTATAACATCTTACTGACGCTATTCGCAAACTTGTTACACTAAGCAGTGGATATAAAATTTTTATTTACAATAGACTCAATATGAAACAAATAATAAATTAAATTTAATGGCCTATGAAGTCAATTTCGAGTTCTAATTTAGCAGTTGAAATTAATTAATATAACGATTCTTATGTTCGTGCATGTAACTTCAAACATTTCAGTTTGGTTCCGGTTATTATTTTAACAGCACAAAGTTTTTCGAAATTTATCACTTCCTTCCTTAGACGACTTGTTTTAATCAAACACTTGTAACTTATTGGTTGTTCTCGAGATTCGTTTCTGAAGAAAAAATAAAATAATAAAATAACTACTTTAACAAAACTGTTATAACTTGTGTCAAATGTCGTTTGATTAATATTTTACACGTGTTCACGTATTCAAATATTGCATTTATCTGTGTTTTTGTATTTTATTATAGCATTTATTCACAGTAACCTTTGAAAGATTTGAGAGGTAATGTAAATAAAAGAACGTAATTCTCAGCTGTTGGCTGCACAGGCTAAACTTTTTATGGACGATTTAAACTCTTTGCATCTAACATTATTTATCGATGCATATAAATAAATCATAAGAATAAAAACATAAAGTATTGATTAAAAATATTAATCATCAACAACAAGAGTTATTTATTTTTAATCTGTTTTAGTATTAATATTATGATAAACATTTAAATATTATTATAGTAAGTTAAAGCCAAGGGCGATTTTAAAGAGGAGTATAAAGGGAAGTATAAAGCTCCATAAATTAGGTTTCAGTCATTATTAGTGGAAAATTTCAAAAATTAATTTTAAGAATGTACAAGCTATTTTATTAAATTAAACTTAAGTTAGTTTACAAATATTTATTTGACATTCTCTCACAAAAAAATATTGACAGATATCTCTTAGTTAAAATATGTTTGAACAGAAAACGCTGAAGAAAATTCAGTTTTAATGAATAATAACATTGAAGATTTAATTTCTAGATATATTGTGAATATTGTAATCTTAAAAGACAGGATACGTCTAACAGTGTCGGAAGTATTAGAACGTTATAATATTCGCATAGTAAATGTATATTGATGCAGCACACAAATATGAGATAATGTAATCGACTCAGAAATATATACTTATCAATGTATTTATATGAAATATGTATATACGAAAATTTGACAATTGTTCACTAAAAAAAAAACAATTTACTTAAAATTATTTTTATTTTTCTCAGAAGAAATATACTATTAAAAAATTAATATTAGACGTACATTCAAATTTTTTAGATATTATCACATTAGAAGTACATAATTCATCTTTTGATGTTTCAGTGTTCAGACAAGGGGAAATTGGATCTAGTTGGTATGCAGTATTGGGTGGTAGTCTAGAAGCCAAATTAGCTCATACAACTCAAAGTTCATCCTCAGTAAACGACAAGGTAATGTAGTAAAATAATGAATATCTAAACTAAAACTATTAAAATATAGAATCTATCTATTTATGATGATCTATACAGGGTAATCAATAAGTGAGGAAACGGGTCAATTGTTACAACAATGAGAACAATAGATAACCCTTTTCTTACTTACTGAACACCCTATATATGCAAATATGTATATACAGATTATATTTTTAACGCTAGCCACTGAATTTCTCTTAAAATAATAATTATATTAATAATATTACTTTTGGTAATTTTTAGTGTCGTATGATTCTCGATTTATCAATTATAAATTACTTTTGAGGATCACCCTTTTTAACCTTTAAGGATGTCAACTTAATTTTTTTTAAAGGCAACATCATATTTAAATAACTTATAAAATACGAAATAATCTAATTAATGAAATGACTGGTCGATAACAACTTTTGGGTTAGTAATTCAGAAATTATTGATATTTTTTATAGCTAGGCGGGAGGAGGTATGCGACCGAGAAACATCTAATGGTGAGTATTGTCATACCTGTACCTCACCTCCAGTCTATATTTTAAAATTGTAATAACTTCTTAAATAATGGGTCAGAAGATGTTGTCTACCAGTCATTTCATTAATTAGATTATTTTGTATTTTATAAGTTATTTAAATATGTATGTTGCCTTTTAAACAAATTAAGTTTGCTATCCCAAAAAGTGAAAAAGGATGATGCAAAAAAGTAATTTATAACTGATAAATCGAGAATTATATGGCACTAATAAATATTAAAATTATTTTTTTTGACTTTGTTTAAGAGAAATCGAATGATTAGCGCTAAAACGATATATTTTTAAAGAATGAAATTTAGTTACAATTTATTATATTCATTTGTTAATTTCACATGAAAATTGAATTCCACGTAATTACACAATGCATTTTGCGTTTTGAAGTATATAAACGTAGAAACAGTAAATTGAATATAAACAGAGCAAGTTAAAATATTTGGGGTGGTGCCTATGGCATACGGATATTAAGTCGAATCAACACAAAGAGACATCAAAATACTGAGCATTCAAGAGTAAGTGTTCAAACTCAAAGGACATTGCAGTAGCTTAGTCATATACATAATGGCTGTCCGGAAACCTGAATATTATTTTCCTAGAATTTTACACAGTGACTTATTTCCATAATAATATAAAGAGCATTTCTAGTTACTACGCGCTATAACACGAAACTCACGCCTGAAGGGACTAATGTAATTTGAAAACGTCTAAAGTGGGGTAGTTGATTTTTTTCACAACTGAACGTCTAAAACAACAGACTGTAAACTATATATTTGAATTTGTAAAGTTTAAGTAATTATGTTTTATAAATGCTCCTAACTTTTCTTTTGTTGTCATCTTCCAAAACTTATCATGGTGATTAACGTGAATTTTTGATTCTCGTCGATACTTGTTATTTCGGTTTTGTTGAATAATATAATACTTTCAAAATACATTATGTGATCATTTGTTTTAGTTTTTTGTAAAATCTGTATCAGAACGCTATTATTAATTTTACAAGTTATTCATCATTGAGCATATGAATAAAAATAAAACTGTAGAAATTAAACTACGAATGAATTAATGTTAATAATAAATACACTGAAACTTTTATTATAGTTTTGCCGTATAATTATATAACTTTTTATTGTAATATTTAATGTTGAACTATGAGAAACTTGGAACACGTCATTCGCTTTACACAAATGTCCTGTAACAGAGATAACTTACACTATTAATTTTAATAGGAAAAACGCTATATATATTTGTAAATTTCATTGTTTTGTTGCCTATTGAAATTTGCAAGTTAACGTCTTTACAGAAGTCTTGGTAGCTTTTAATGTCATTGCAAACACCGTACTGTACTCAAAGTATACTTAAGTGAGTCTCAATCTAACCATTATCATGTGTAAATACTGTACCGCAAAATATATATCTAACCCCTATAGGGAACTATGTCGTTTGTTCTCTTTTACCTCGTCACATAAAGTCGTTTATAACTTTTTCCGTAGTCAAAGACCCTGAAACTATAGATCGACAAAAGACTTTGATCAAATTATCTAAGTATACTATTGTGTAGAACTCGTTGTTCGAGTGCTTTTTGGATAATAATATAGTAATTGCTATAGAGCACCAACACTTAATTTATCTTATTTATTCAAGTCAGACTACAATAAACTTATTGTTAATCAAAAGCGTGAAATTATGTTAAAGGGTTTGCGTAAAGCTACGTAATTAACTATTTGTTTTCATCTTACATTTTAACTATTGACGTCATTTTTTATCATCTATTTAATAAATAATAAAAGAACAGAATTTAAATAGATTAAAATTTTTGATACTTTTTTCAGGTATCAGAATGAGTAGCACAAATAATTTATAATACAGCTGGCGCATTAAAAACTTGTCTGTTTTTTTACATAAGCGTAACTACAGATTAACTCCCTAAGAATGTTGTTGATATTGACCGCGTAAATTTTTAAAAAACTTTACAATAGAGTCACTTAAGGGATAAAATTTAACAATGGTTAAAAAAGTGGTTATTTTTAATATAATATTAATAACAAAAAGTTTAATTCGTCCCATCTGAATAGCTCTTTTATGACTCTTATCATTGAGTTATGTTTAAGTCTACAACTTAATACATAAAAACAAAATAATGATTAACATACCACTCAATCATATAAAGCATTCGGTGGCTAAAAAATAAATAGAATTGCTGTATTATTTAGAGTTAGTACAAAGACTCTTGAATATCGACAATACTTTAGAAAATAGAACAAATTCGTTCTATTGTTGCTAAACAGTCTGTTTACAACATGTAAGATTAAAAATTATAAATAATACAACAATGAAATGACTGACTTTTATAAAATTTACAATATGATCAAAAATATTCAGATGACATGTGAAAAACATGAAATAAGAGAAGAAATAGTAGTAATAAAAAATGTAATGTGACGAACGTGAGCTACATAAAATGGTTAAAAATTTAAATAGATTTCCTATAATTCCATGTGTTGTTTTATTCTGGAATTTAATTTAGTGGTACGTATAACCAATAATATGCGAAACAAACGGAAGGTCATGAATAAAATGAAATAAAATGTACACACTACAAATTCAGTTATTTTATAGATTTCAAGAAGCAGCATTTGCATTTATGCCACCCCTCTACGCTCAAAATAAAACGCACTTATGTACATTTATATCAGCGAGAAAAAATACTTTAGTAGGTAAAAATGAACTTCATGTTTGTTTGGATTGCAAATAATGCAATAAATGTAGTAGATACCTTTCTTTGAAATGTTTACAATATGCTATTAAAACCAAATAATATTATTGCAATGATATTTTGATGTGTTGACTACACACTTAAAACTTAGAGTGTAGAACATTGAAGTGCCTTTTCGATTTTTTGTTGAAATTTCCATGTATCTAAATAGAAACAATTATTGGCTTTTTTAACTATAGTTGATGTAACATATTTTATATTACTAAAATATGTAAAGGTATAAATTTGCGCGATCGCTCCGATAATTTATATAATCTTGTATTTAATTACTGTATTAGAATATTTGTTGGTTTAAAATAAAATTTATATTTTAACATCGTGTAAATTTAATAAAGCGTTATATGCCCTTCAATATTTTATTAATGATAGGTATATAAAATTGGCATGGTTTTAGAGAGCTATAAAATACAATAATGTGCTCGACATTACGAGTGGAATATGGGTCATTCAAGTAGGTAAACTTGATATTAATTTTGTGGTAAAGCACATTTTGGAATGTGGTAAAGGACACTGAACAATTAATTCTATAGTACTTTCGATTATTATTGTTTACGTGCACCCTAAAATAAATTTAATATTCTATGTATCTCAACATCAATTCGTTCTATATCACATTGGAGATATTTTCCTCTTAGAAAATAATTAAACATGTTATGTAATTATCTTCTATTTGATCTAAATATAACGAATTCATTTATCTCTATTGTTTTAACCTTATATGTGGTAAGTAAAATTATTCGACTCATTCGACATATGATAAGTAGGGCTATATAAGCAATTAATTATAAGAAAGTTGATTTAGGTGATCCTTTGAGTATTTTGCGCCAATTTTTCAGTTAATATTAATTCTAAAGCTATATAAATAATTAAATTTTGATAATTGCTGAAATATATACAGAAATCCCATTTTACTTAATTATACTTTAAGAAGTTGTTCGTTATTTTTTTATAAGTACAATATTCTTTAAATATAATTACAAGAATATAATGGTAGTTAATAAACATAATGGTAAAATTATTTACTATTCAGTAATAGACAATTTACTTAGGGTTTAAAATAAAATTATATAAGGCTATCTTGACTTTTGAAAAGTAATTAAACAAATATATTTTTTTAAGTCAATGATAAACATGAAATACTGTTTAAAAAAATCCATGAAAAATACTTTGTTATGTTGGGTTTAACAGTGTTGATAGAATACAGGGTGATTGTTTCACTATAATTAAAAAACCTCCCTGCAACACAAGATAATGCGTTAGATATTTATGTCTAACGCGTTATCTTAAAAGTATTAACTTAAATAATTATTTTCCTTTTAAAAGTTTATACAATCTTATATATTTAATTACTATACATTTAAAAATAAAATTGAATTATATGCTTTCCTTTTACCCATTAAAACTATATCAAGATGAATTCTTTGAATTATAATATACAATACTAATTAAAAGATCAACTAATGATGAAAGTTACTAATGGATAATAACTTTAAACTAGTTTTTTAGAAATGAAAAAGAGCTGAAAAAAAATGTTTGGTTATTTATAAATTTAATGAATATGTATGACGTATTTTTTTTTTTTTTATTACAAGATGGATAGGTAAGATATTAAATTTTTTATACTAGGTTCAACAAGTTGGTATTGTAATATTTAGGTGTCTACAATAAGATTTTAACCAATCAATTTATTA